AAAGGACTAAATAGCAACCATATCGTTCTATAGCAGGGTGTCCGATAGCTTCCTCCAACACCCTAAATTTATGAAACGGCAATCTGACTACAGAATGGATGATTTTTGGTAGCACAGTTGTGGTGGTTCTTCCTCCATTGAATATAAGGGCAGAAATGGGAAGAAATCAAAAGGAGGCAAATGAAAATGACTTTTCAGCTATAAGCCCATTCTCAAGACTCTCAAATAACCTGAAAACGGCCTGCTGAAATCTTGTCATTTTGCTATCAAATTTCAATGGGATGATTTTACAAATGGAGGTGAGGGTGGGAGTTGGGGACCTTGAACAGTAGAAATAGGAATGCTTTGTTTCCCAGAGATCATCCACTCCCATATGCACAGTTAAAAATCTATCCCCCTCCATTAAACAGCCTCACCCCAAGCCTTACCTCCTTCTCATAACTGGCTTCTTCAGCTAACCCAGGTCTGAGAGATCCAGGTCTAGGCTTAACAAATTGCTAATCTCTGATTTATTGGGTCCAGGCTCTTTATGCCCTAACATTCAAAATGTTCATGTGAGCTACTTTACAGAGGCATCAGACTGCAAGTATTCCTTACCCTCCTTTGAAAAGAACCCACAATCATTTCTTTTGACTTCTCTTTCACTTAATTTTATGCACTTCATTCTGTATACCAAATTCCAATCTTTCCCCCATGGCACCTTCTGGAGATGTTGGGCTGCAATTCCAATCATGAGCCATCCTGGCTGGGGCAACTGTGACAGTGCTGGATCCTTTTCCTTTGAAAACAAATTCTGTAGCTGAATCCTGACTATGTTTTAGCCAGTTAATTCAGGATGCGAAGGAAAAGACCAGCACTGAAAAAAATCTTACATATCTAAAAAGTGGGAGGAAGAGCTTAGAGTGAAAACAAGAAGCATTTTCAAGTAAAAGGGAAATAAGAAATTCATTTTGCACATGGGAGAAAAGAAGCTATCCATTTTAAACCTGAATATCCTAAAAAACTATACTTGGCAGCCATCCATTCTAAGAATTCTCTGGAGGTGCAATATAAAAGAAGAAGATATACACTTATTTATACATGCATATTTGTAACATAGATGTTGGTGAGCTATTTTCAATAGTAGTCTAAGTACAAACTCAAATGGATCTCCTTTAAAAATAAAAGTGTAGAGTTTATATATAAGCTTTTACTCATTTTAGTTCCACAATAAATTTTGTGACAGATTTGGTTTATTTTTATTATAATTGTTAAATGTCTATAAATAAATTAAGTGGGCCTCTTCGTTTTTTTTATATTGCAGGGAAGAATTTGGCAATGCAAAGGAAATAGCCAAATCTTTTTCTGTAGTTTCAATATGTTACAGGTTAAAATGAGTTTTTTTGCTCTTAGAGGTGAAGCCTATAAAAGCTCTTCTTTATCTCCAGTTTATTCTATTTTTAAAAAAAATATTGACTCACAATTATTTCAGTAAGTTACAGTTATAAAACATATACATTCTCTTCTCCCATGTAAGTCTTTATATGAAAGATATAATAAGATAGCAAATAATAGAAAAAGAAATAAACATAGGCATACTATCCACTGAATGAATAATTTTTAATTGCAACATAGTTATTTTGCACAATGGCACCAGTATACATAATGAAAACATAAGGAAACATAGATAAAGGCCTAGCTTTACATTTTTCTTTCATCTGTAAGAGAAACTCCTTCAGGAAGCCAAAAAATTACATCTCTGACTGTTGAAAGTTACTCTTAGAAAGTCATCTGATTTGAGATTCACAAAAACATGTTGATGTTTATAATAAGAAACAATATCCAGATAACTTGAGATTTTTATCCCATCGCCCTTTTGTGCTAAATAATGAATTTATAGCTATATCCAGTTTTATCTTGGGATTCCAAGCGGTACATAGCTAAAGGCTTCAGCATGTATCCTACTTTACTGGAAGACCCTAGATTTAGAAGCACATTAACATTTACATCACTTGCCTACCTAGAAGCCTACTTCTGCATTTGGATTTTTTGTGATGGGATAAGAATAGGATATGCCTATTGCATAGCTAGGTAACCTTGATTAAGTCAACTGACAAAGTTATGTTATACTTTTTGGTACAGCTGAGAACCTATGACAGCAATTGTGTAAAAAAATCTAATGCATCAAGATATAAATCAATAACGTTTTGTGACAGCAGCAATAGCAAAAAGAAAAAGAAAGAAAAAGTCATGTTAAAAAAGGAGGTTACACAAACCTTATGGTTGGTTTAGAACATACTCCAAATACTAAGCAATGAATTCATTTGACTGAATTGTAATGAATTCATTAAACAGGATAATCACAATTGCAATGAATTTTCATACCACTTGCAACTTAGGGAATTCCACCACAAGGACTGGAAGTATCAGCTCATTGAGGAAAAAATACAGCTGAAATTTGCATGATTTACATTGTCTAAAACAGTGGTGGCGAACCTATGGCACGCGTGCCAGAGGTGGCACTCGGAGCCCTCTCTGTGGGAACGCGTGCCATGCCCCAGAGATGGCAACCGTCCTTCTTCAACCAGCTTCCCGCTAACTCGCCGAGGTCCCACATGGCCAGATGCATCCCAGCATGGCTGGTTTCCCTCCCCCCTGTCCCATCCCTCCTGGACTCACATGCTCTCCTTTTCCCGGGCACGACCCACTGCAGCGCCTCCTCAGCTGTTGGCCATCTGTCCAGCTTAGAGGCGGCTGGCTTCTCTGAACTTCTTGTGGCAGGCTGCGGAGCCCCAGAGTGCGCCGGTCGAGGGGCCGGCAGGCTATGGCTGCTGACAGACACTGTTGGTCCCCATGCGCTCGCTGACCTCTGTGTGCGGGGGTCGATGGTGTCAGGCAGCGGCTGCCCCAGCCCCTGCCTCGCCTTGCCCTGCGACAATGGCACCCCAGCCCTGCCTCACCTCACCCTGCAGGACGAGCCTCCTGCCCACTGCCCCACCTGCCAGAGACCCCTGTATCTCCCCCAACCCTGCCTGGTTTCCACAGGCATTCCTCCCCATGAGCAACATCGAGGTGACCACGCCCACCTTGGCCACACCCACCCAGTCTGCCATGACCACCACAGCCACGCCCACCCAGTGGGCCACACCCACCTGGCACCTGGTGATAAATAAATGGGTTTTGGGTTGCAGTTTGGGCACTCGGTCTCTAAAAGGTTCGCCATCACTGGTCTAAAATATCAACCTTTTACTGAAGCAAAATTTGGGGTATCTTGCAGATTTTCTTTATCTGAGGCACACAGACCTTTGATAAGGAAAAATAGTATTTATCCCTTTTAAATTATAACAAGGCTTATATAACGTTCATAGCAGTATCTAAAACGTTTCAAGGCTTATATTGATTCTAATGTCATCAGCTGTAATCAACTATGTAGCTGTATCTTTATAATTACAGATACTGCAAAATAGCACCTGAAGACATCTATTAAGGAGATCTTTCAGATTCTGGTGCAGTTCCAGCTCTGGCACAACATGAACACTCCACCTGCCAAATCAAATGACACGTATACAATCTATATTTGTACCACTGCCATTTTATCCTTAACAGGGAAATCCATTTCAGCTCAGCAAATGCCATCTCAAAAATTATATCATTACTTTATGATTCAAGAGATGGCCTCTGCTATTACTGGTGGGGCTTTTTGACTTGCCCCTACTCAAGGCTGCCATTGTAGTTACATGGTAGTATGATGAGGAAAAGAGGTTTGAACACAAAATTGCTAGTTTGTCAGCTTTTAAAATCATGAGAGTTTCTAAGAAAAGATGTCTGCTGCTATGCTGACTGTAAAAAAGTTTCAGTGCATGTTATTTGTTCCTTTTTTAAATAACTGACCTCATTGCATAGTTTCTTTTCAAGCTACTGTTTGTTTTTTTAATAGACATGGACATTTATTCACAAAAAGATGATTGGAACAGAGTAGACGGGAATATCACCAATTTCTTTTCAAGGTAGAAAAAACACAAAATAAAGTTTGCAGGATCCAATCAGGGTGGGTCATCAGGAGCAGAGGTTTTGTCTTCTGAGCTTTCAGATTCGTTCTGAAGCCCATCTTCAGGGAACTTCTCTCTAGCAGAGTGTGAGCTGTTCTGTGTGTAGTATTTATAGTGTTTGTTGTAAGTGGCTTTATAGATTGGGATGTGTCAATCGCTAGCTTTTAAGTCAGGGGTGTCAAACTGCCAGCCCACGGACCGGATGCATCATAGCCGGCCATGGCAAAAAAGTCGCAATACATTGCGACACGTCACGTGATGTTGAGTTTGATACCCCTGTTTTAAGTCATCAGCTGTTGTTTGCTTGAGCTGCCCAGCCCTCGCCTTCTAAGCACTTGATAGGCTGATGGTAAATGTTGATTGACGAGGGGCACATATACTCACATTCATTTGTAAAAGAAAGCTTGTTCAGGCACAGACTCAGCAGAACTTGAGACAGAGGAACAAGACACCCAATTTTGGGCCAGTCAAGAATTACAGCAGGAAAGCATGGACTTCCTGACAATTATGCTCAGCTATTGGTCACAAAGTAGCTAGAGCACAAATATTCAAGATCTGCAAATAGCTACAACAGCTCATGTTAAATTCGAGTTTTGGATTTGGGGAAAAAGAATTGGCAGATCAAAAGTCTTGGCCATTTGCAAGACCACAGTTGATGCACATATACCCATTCACACACATACAGGCTCCTTCATGTAAAAAAAAAAGGGGGGGAGTCTAAACAATGTAATGAAAGAAATGTCTTTTGAGAAAAAAAGTAAACATAATCAATAAGATATTCCTGAAGGCTAATTTTACAAACAATGAATATTAGGTGTAATAGATAGCTTCAGAAGAGCAACATAAGATGATTTGGAGAGTTCATTCAGAGCACAGCAAAGTTTACTTCAGTTAATGGCTCTAAAATCTGATTATAAAAGATATGCATGTCTTTTTGGGTTTCTGTTTAAAAAACAAGTAAAAAAACCTTACCTTGACTATGCCACGGATGTGCATTTTTGCTATCATCTCTGCCGTGTAGAGAAACATCAGCAATGTATCAAGAGCAAATGTCACATACTGAAGGGGAGGATAATGCTCAAAGGTCTTTGGGGTATTCATGCACACCGAAATGACACTGATGATGGCACAGATGCGCAGTAAAGAATGCACCCACTGAGGAATACAAAACAGGAACAAAGTTGTTATCAACTAGTACAACTACCCTTTTCAATGTTGTTTCATGTCTAACAGTTTAAAATAACATCTTGAATGAAAAAAAAATGTTTACTGTTTCCCCAAAAGTAAGACCTACCCCGAAAATAAGCCATAGCTTGATTTTTGGGGGTGGGGCTAATATAATACCCCCAAAATAAGCCCTAATTTGGGGGTGAGGCTCACACCTAAAAATCAAGCTAGGGTGGGGGTGGGGGTGTGGAGCTGCCCCATGCGCCCCGCACCCACTTACCTTGCAGCCAGGCCTCTCCTCGCCAGTCTACTTCTTCTGCGGCATCCACAGGCCTGCATTTCACAGTCAGAAGCCTTTCTGGAAGGCCACTGCAGCCGAGAAACGAGCTATGGATTCAAGCCATAGCTTGGTTCTCTGCCTCAGTGGCCTTCCGGAAAGGCCTCTGACTGTGAAATGCAGGCCAGAGCTCCATTCTCAGCTGCAGAAGAAGTGGGCCGGCTAGGTGGGGCTGTCAGTGCCAGAAATAAGTGGAGAAGACACCCCCCTCCCAAAAATAAGACCTGGTGCATCTTTTGGAGGCAAAAAAAAATAAAAATAAGACCAAGTCTTATTTTAGGGGGGAAACAATAGATATTGAAGGCTTCTACTGCTAAAAACCATTACTATTATAACATATGCTGTAAGGGGAATTAAAACAGTTACTCTTGTTCATCAACTTTTGTTTGATTCATGCACCTTGCTAAGTTCCTTTTTGACAAAGGGTATGGTGTAAATGAGTCAACTTCCTCATTCCCTCTGCAGAAAGTGCATTGCATTTTCACTACAAATTAATACAATAAGCATTTCACTCCATTTTTCATTTGTTTAAAGTCTTGAAATTGCTGCCTACTTGCCCAGCATTATGGTCCAGGCAGGAAATTTGGGGTCCTCCAATAAAAAAATCAAAAGTTTAATTTAAAAAAAAAAATCATTTACTGTATTTTTCCGTCTATAAAATGCCATTTTTTCCTGCAAACACCCTGTTCAAAAATCAGGTGTGTCTTATACAAGTGCAGTGTCTTATATAAGAAAAATTTATGGTAACCTCCGCAGCCCAGGGCATGCCTGTGTGGGTTCTTTACATGCCGCTGCCATGCCTCCATGGTGCAGGAGGATATTGCTGGGCCAAGATGCCGCCTGGATGGGGAGAAAGCCGGCCCAAGATGCCACCTGGTGCTGGAGGATCGCGCTGCCCCAAGGAGGCCGCCGGTCCCACTGAAGCTGCCTTCTATGACCCGTTTTTCACCGGCGCAGCTCGGGCTATAGCCGCAAGGGGGCGTCTTATACAAGGGTGCGTCTTATAGACGGAAAAATACAGTAATTGCATTTTTCCATTTTTGAACAGTTGTATTATTTGATTTTCTTTTTAAAACAACTCTTTTAAATATAGTGTCTGTAGCATGGGGCTAGAATATTTCCATGCTTCTTGTTGGCTTCCTTATTCTCACTAGTGAATTTGTATACTTGATTTTCCCTTTTGCTAACGGAATATGACACTTCTGTTTTAACAGAAAGCTTCAATACTCCTCAAAACTCAGACCCATTTTAATTTTTTTTCAGAATAATTTTTAAATTTAACAGAATACTTTTGTCCTGTTAGACTGGATTTATGCAAAATATATAAAAAGGAAAGTAACTGAAAAAATATATAATAAAATTGGATTGGGCATTGAAGGAATGTGGATAAGACAGTTTATTCATGCCAGAAATGAAGGGAAAGTTCAGAAAGCAATTCACGAAGGCCTTGTTTAGAACTGTGCAAAGACAAGGCTAAAGTGAGCTCTTTCAATTATTCTCCTTTTCCAATTCTTTATATTAATTTCCCTAGATATACAGCAGTTCTAAGAGAAGAGATTGATATCATTTATCACGTGTGTATGTGTGTGTATATTAATGCAACTGCATTATACATCTTTTTCTTCATTTAGTCATCATTTAGTACTGATTCATTTTGTCATATTATGGATTAGAAATTCTTATTTAGCTGATTCCATTAACAAAGTATCTTTTCAAAATCCACTAAATTCAAATAATAGAAATGTAAACACATACTTTTGTTTACCCATCAAGAGACATTTAAGCACATATTTTCCATTGATTGCATCAACATCAATGGAACTTAACAATGCTTAATTACATCTTAATCATATTCCAAAGGTAAGAAAGTTAAGGTAGTATATCATACTTACTGGTTTGTTAACCCACAGGATATCTGCGTTGTCTGATAAGGATTCATCAGGACCAAAATCTGTTACAGGCTGGGCTTCTACCCTAGAACTCTGTTTCCTTTTCAGCATACTGAAATTAGCTTTGATTATATAAAACTGTGAAATGGCCTAAAAAAAAGAAAGGGGGAAAATAAAGCTATAATCTGCTTGACAAGATTAAAGATTATGGACATTTGTCCAGATCCCTGACATATAAATTATGGAAATAAACACAGAAACAAGCCATTAGAGATTTGACTTTACTAGATTAGGCAAGTACATGGCAGCCAATTTACTTTACATTATCCCTGTCTTTTTCTTCATTTAGTCATCATTTAGTACTGATTCATTCTGTCATATTATGGATTAGAAACTCTTATTTAGCTGCTCACACTAACAACAACAAAAAATTAGGTAGGAATAATTTGCTACCAGACGTTTGCATGTCACACATTTTAAGAGATCTAAATTCTTAGTTTGTGAATCCTAGATTACTTGGGAAGAAAAAAAAAGTACCTTGAGCCTAAGGAAACAACATGCTAAGGAAATCTTTTATTGTTTTGCCGTAATGGTTTCACTGGGAGTTGGTGCACATCTTTAAAAAGCTGTATTTATATGCATGCATGTTTAAAATAGACACATATACATCGACACACATACAATCCAAATATTGCTGTGTTTTGCTATCCATTTGATTACCAAAAGTGGCCACTGAGCAGCTGTTTGGTACTACCTCCAAAATTAGGTGGCAGATATTTTAGAGAATGGTTACACGTGGCCCAAAGTCTATAAATTAAGTGTGAGCAGACAGCTTATTCATAATAAGCCAGAATTTCCATCCAACAGAGGTACGATAGAACAGAGGTCCCCAATCCTTTGGGCACCAGGGACCGGTTCCATGGAGAAAGGTTTTTTCATGGACCGGAGAGTGCATGGTTTTGTATACTGCCTGCATCCCACGGATGGGGCTTTGCTTATTTGTGCAGACTGGTTGCTGGCATGCCGCAGCAGAGTACTGGTCCATGGACCAGGGGTTGGGGACCCCTGTGATAGAAGATAGTTGATGTTTCAAGATACTTTCTTCACATCTCAGCCATGTCATTCATGTTGTTATTATTGCTTTAACATTCATTATTGTAGTTTATTTGAAAAGCTGAAGCAAAGTGGGATTATAGATTTGAATGATCTTTTGTTGGTTGTAAAATTGATTGTACAAAAATATTAAACCTTTGCCACATTTGGTTTATATTGAGCATATTTTACCTACTACACAAACTATGTTGTATATTATCACCTGCATGTGAAAACATTTATTGAATGAAAAGCATTTTACCCTTCAAGCAAAAGTAAATAGTGTGTTGAAAAATGCAAAACCATTTATCCATATGCTACAGCAGCTTTCAATAGAAAACACCGGGATGCAAGCTGAATTGAGTTGGCTGACAGGAAGTCTAACATTAATTCTGCTGACATGGTCAGGACAACAGAAACACCAAAAGGTTTGGATTAGCAGGAATAGGTAGATTTTTGAAAAAAGTTACCTGTGATAGGAATGAATGTGTGAAACTAGAAAAGATAATAAAAATACTTCCAAATAACCATGATGAATATAAGACTTCTTATAGGAGTACATAATGCTAATTAAGCTAAAAGTGAATCATACAAGTAAGAACTCTTTTTCTATAGATTTGACAATCTAAAAAGTGTAAACTGCTTTCTAAATTGCTTGTTCATATACCTTAATTTCTTTCATTTAAAACTGGCAAACTGTAGCATGATATTGGTTGACCGATACCAATTTTAAACCAACTTCTTTCCAACAGGTAGAATTATGGTTAGTAAATCCATATTAAACTGCAGCTCCTATTTGGACATAATCATATTAAATTAAGATGTACAATGAAAATGAGTAAGAAGAGCCAAGAAAAGACATGAGGTACTATTATTCATACTCCTCAAAGTTTATGTAACTAGAAACTGGGTGCAAAATCTAACATAGAAACTGGGTGCAAAATCTGACATATTATTTTACTTGAAACTTAAACTTATGAGTGCTTAAAATCTGAAATGATTTTTATAACTGTCTTAAATAAGCATAAGTGTTTTTATTTAAAAAATATTGATCTTACATAACATTTATGTGTATAAACAAATCGGCCCCTGTATTTTATATTTTCCTGCAAACTTCTCAATTTGACTATCTTCGGAAATAGTAGGTTTGGCACTCTTAGAATTATTACTCATAATAGCTGTGAACTCTGGAAATTATAAATTCAGCCTATTAAAGAAATACTAGCTGGAGAACAATGTTTCATTTAACTCATGCTAGAGAATTTTATTTTATTTTATTTGGTAAATTTATACAAGTTGTCCATCTCACATACACGACTCTGAGCAGCATACAATGTTAAAAATCACAAAAAATATAAAAAAGTAACCAAAGAGGTAGCAAAAAACCCTAAAAACTTTAAAAACAATAAAAATCATAAAAATTATTTAAAACCCACTAACTTATGGGGTAACACTTATTCCTAATTATACAGCCAGTTCGCAGACTCTGTGCCAATGTTACTGGATCCCAAGGCTGAAGGCAAAGCCATGTTTTCAGACCCTTCAGGAATGTTGGTGCCAATCTGATCTCAGCAGGAGAGATGTTGTAAAGGGTGGCAGTAAAGTCTCTCCTGGGTCTTGTCAAATTACATTCCTTTGTGTGGGGAACCCACAACATGCCCTTCCTGTGAGATCTGATAGATATGCTTGGCGAGAGGCAGTTCCCTCAAACAATCCATTTCCAAATAATACATACATGCATTCCACCATATAACTCTAGATTTTCTGATATTCCCAGTTTTATCTGGAATTCATACACTATATCATTCCTAACTCTAATTCAAATTTTCACTGTAATATATCATTGTCAACCAAGAATAAAAAGATACACTGAAGCTAATCTTTGTTGCTGGTACTACATGGGCACAACTGTGCAGTTTACTTTCCAGTAGTATAGAAAAGGCTTGCAGCTGATCCTTTCTGATTTCACAGTCTGGCCCATAACCCTGGTATTCCCTGGTGATTCCCGATTGAAATACAAACCATGCCTAACCTTGTTTAACTCCAAATCTAGGCACTTGCTGAAAGCTAAAAATTAAAAGGAGTATATGGGTGTGCATGCATATATATGTCTACATACAAACATATCAATAGAATAGGATATCAGAGTTGGAAGGCACCTTGGAAGTCTTCTAGTCCAACCCCCTACTAAAGCAGGAGACCTATACCATTTCAGACAGGTAGCTGTCCACAACTTCTAAAGGCAAGCCATTCCACTGGTTGATTGTTCTCACTGACAGGATTTTTTTCCTTAGTTGTAGGTTGAATCTCTCCTTGATTAGTTTCCATCAATTGTTTCTTGTCTTGCCTTCTGGTGCTTTGGGAAATAGGTTGACCCCCTCTTATCTGTGGCAGCCCTTTAAATATTGGAATACTGCTATCATGTCTCCCCTGGCCCTTTTTTTCACTAGACTAACCACATGAAATTCCTACAACCATTCATCATGTTTTAGTCTCCAGGCCCCTAATTATCTTTATTGCCCTTCTCTGCACTTTTTCAAAAGTCTCAACCTCTTTTTTATAATGTGATGACCAAAACTGTGATGCAGTATTCCAGGTGTGGTCTTACTAAGGCTTTGTAAAGTGGTACTAGTACCTCATGTGATCTTGGCTCTATCTCTCTGTTAATGCATCCTAGGATTGCACTGGATTTTTTGGCTGCTGTCACACACTGCTGGCTCATATTTAAATGATTGTCCACTAGGACTCCAAGACCCCTCTCGCAGTTACTGCTATTGAGCCAGGTTTCACCTAATCTGTATTTGTGCAGTTGCTTTTTTCTTGCTTTTCTCTTCATTGAATTTCATTTTGTTAGATAGGGCCCATTGTTCAAGTCTGTCGAGATCTATAAGGATCTTCTGCAGTACTATTTCTGCTAGCTTAGTGTCATCTGCAAATTTGATGAGTTCCCCCTTCTATTCCCTACTATTTCCTCATCTAAATTGTATTTAAAAATATTGAAGAGTATTGGGCCTAAAATAAGACCTTGGGATACCCCAATGCTTACTTCCCTCCATGAAGATGTAGTACCATTAAGGACTACTTGTTGAGTTCAGTTTATTAGCCAGTTACAAATATATCTGGTGATGATGTTGTCTAATCCACATTTTTCTAGCTTACCAAGAAGTAGCTTGTGGTTTACTTTGTCAAATGCCTTACTGAAATCCAAGTATACTATGTCCACAGCATTTCACTGGTCTACTAATTTAGTCACTTTATCAAAGAATGAAATAAGATTGGTTTGGCATGCTCTGCTTTTGACAAATCCACACTGGCTTCTTGTTATAACTTTATTTGCTTCTAGGTGTTTTTTCATTATCTTTTCCAGGATCTTCCCAAGTACTGATGTCAGGCTGATTCGTCTGTAGAAACCTGTGTCTGTCCCCCCCCCCCTTTTTGAAGATGGGAACCACATCAGCTCTTTTCCAGTCCTCAGAAAGTTCTCTGGTGCTCCAGAATCTTTGAAAGATATTGTACAATGGTTCTGAGATAACATCTGCCAGCTCCTTCAGAACTCTGGGATGTAATTTGTCAGGTCCTGGTGATTTGAAAAGATCAGACGTGTTTTCTTACCATTTTCTTGCTTAGTTTAATTTTTATTTCTAGTCTGTCTTTTACAGTTATGCTTTTGATGGATTATGTTTTCTAGTAGATTATATCCCTGTTTAAAACAAGAAAATTTCCAGTTCTAAACTTGCATTTGCAAAAAAAACCTCACTAAACCTTAAAGAAATCAGGAAGAAGTTTCTTCTTGGAAACCATATTCAGATTGCTTCTGGATTTTGTGAAAATATGTGGAGCTCCCAGATTTCATGAGAACAAGCTTGACACTCAATTTCCAATGTTTAGTTTCCATGGAAGCAACAGAATAATTTGGAATGCAGAGGGGAGAGAAAAAAGAAACAGCAGAAATGATACATATCTTGATATAGTTTTGATAAAGAAATTTCTGAATAACATTGTTTGGTGATTGAAGAATTCAGAACTTGGCAATTAGGATAATAAATGAATCAAAGATA